AAAAAAAACTAACAAAAATACACAAAAAATTACTAAATCTAATTCAAAATCTTAACAAAAACAACAATAGTATATCAATGATACTAGAATAACACTAGCCACTGATTTTGTCATGGTAATTATGTAAGGTGACTTACATCAATACTTTTTTAATTGAATTTTTAGATAATTTTAAGAGTTCAGACCATCTGTGACATTTTACATTTCAGTTAAGAATGAAAAAGAATCACTAAATGAGATTGAATCAGCAATTAATAATTTCAAGTTCTATGCTAGTCCAAGTCCTGACACTTCACAGTTCACACAAAAATGACAACTCTATATCTTGACCTTACACATCCCCATTCACTTTCAATATTTATAATAGTGCAGCCAGTATATTCATCAAAAATTCACTTTTAGAAAAAAATGTCATACTGGTTTGGAATGACGTGAGGGTGAGCATTAAATTTGACCCCTTTTACTTTCTTAAAGCATATTCTTTAAGAAAGCAACCTCTTTCCTTCAGCACCTGTCAGAGACGACTTCTCATCATCCAAACATTAGTAATGGATAAAATCAAGTAAAATACATCAGATTACATCAGAAAGCAAAAAGAGTTACAACAACTTTTCCTGTTCATTTTAAGTTCTCGTTTGGTCCAATTTCCTTATAAATGGTCACAATTATGAGATTTTCAAAATATTGAGACTAAAAATAATCAGAGAAGTGGGACCAGTGTTATTTTAGTACCATTGATATGTTTTTCTCACTTTTATTCGTTTGTAATAAAAAAAATAAGTATTTTACATTTTATTTGACATTTGTTTTAAAAAAAATTTAAGTAACAATTTTTTTTTATTTTTTATTTTTAGCTTTGTAATGTTTTTAGTTTTAGTCAGCGATAAGTTAATAACAATATGTTTTTGTCAATATTTACATTAGATTTTATTTTTCTATTTTAATTTTTAGTTTGTTTCAATTATTTTGTTGTGTTTTGTCTTTTTTTTTTTTTTTTTTAGTTTTTTTACATCTGACCTGATTTCTTGTCAGAAATAAAAGAAAATGTGAAAAAAAAAACACTTAACATTGTATATTTTTTATTATGTATTGTTTTTTTTTTGTTTTTTTGTTTGTCACACTTTAATTTGGGGACCAATTATCATTATTAACTAACTATTAACTACGACTTTTGCCTCAATAAACTTATATATGCTGCTTATTAATAGTCAGTAAGGTAGTTGTTAAGTTTAGGTAATGGGTCGGGTAAAGGGATCTTATACATGGTTATACAGAATAAGGCATTAGTATGTGCCTGTAAGTACTAATAAACAGCCAATACACTAGTAATATGCATGCTAATAAACAACTAGTTAATAATGAGAATTGGTCCCTATAAGTTAAGTTTTAATTAAGTTTA